TTTCACACAAGTTGGTGATAGACAGATCACAGTTGAAGTTCAACACCCAGAACAGAAACTTAAAGAGGAAGAGTCTGTGGAAGGAAACCTGTAAAACCGTGTTAGAAATGAAGAAGAAGAAGAAGAAACAAGAGAAGGAAGGGACGTCGACGGACACATGGAAGCTGATAGAGAAGAGAAAGTAGGATGCTGAAGCAGAGGATGAACCAGTGCAGTGCAGTGCATGGATGAACAACGAAGAGAGTAACTGAATACAACCTATAAAACACTACACTGGACAAAGAAGTGAAGAAGAGTGCGCACAATGACAAAGGACACTTCTACAACACACTGGCAAGTGAAGCAGAACAGGCGCCTGGTAGGAGGGATAGAGATCTGACAACACTATACCAAATAACCAGGTTACTATCTGGGAGTGAAGAGATCAACACAGCACAGCACAGCACAGCACAGCACAGCACAGCACAGCACAGCACAGCACAGCACAGCACAAATGAAAGGAATGGAAGATAGTGAAGGAGACTTAGTTACCGCTAAAAAGGATAAACAGAGAAAACGATGGGCTGACCACTTCAAACATCTCTTGAATCAACCATCACCATCAACTGCAATTCGTCCAGAAATACCACCACCAGCTGCAGCCAGCCAGCCAGCCACAGAATTACCAGTGAACACAAGCACTCCGATGAAAGCAGAAGTGTAGTCCTGAACACAATAAAGTTGCTGAAATCCGGCAACGCAGCAGGACCACATGGAATTCCTCCAGAAGCACTAAAAACAGACTCAGAGACAACAGCGGACATGCTGACAACACACCAGTATTGCAGAAGGTTTGCAAAGAAGGAAGGTAGGAAAGGTAGCAGCCAGTTGATTGGAAGAAGAGCTATCTTGTCAAACTCCCAAAGAAGGGTGACACAAGTCTTTGCCAGAAGAGGAACTGGCGTGGAACCATGCTCCTGTCCCTGCCCCTGTCCACCCAAAGCAAGCAAAATATTATGCCGCATCATTGTGGAGAGACTGAAAGATGCGCCGGATTCAAGATGAAGACCGGCACAGACTGGCTGGCTGGCTGGCTGGCTGGCTGGCTGGCTGGCTGGCTGGCTGGCTGGCTGGCTGGCTGGCTGGCTGGCTGGCTGGCTGGCTGGCTGGCTGGCTGGCTGGCTGGCTGGCTGGCTGGCTGGCTGGCTGGCTGGCTGGCTGGCTGGCTGGCTGGCTGGCTGGCTGGCTTCACGAAGAACAAATCTTGTACGCATCAAATTGCAACGCCTCTCTACGCATCCTCTCATCATAGAACAGAGAGTGGAATGGCAGTCAACTCTTCACCTTGCCTCAACTTCGTCGATTTTGAAAAGGCCTTCGATAGCGTCGACCGAGAAGTAATTTGGCAGGCAGCTGCTTCAACACTACGCTTCCAGTGACACAAACCATTCATCAAACTCACTCAACAGCAGCCGTATGCTATATGATGAGGCTACATGCGAAGTGATTCGCAATGGAAAGCTCAGTGTTGATGCCTCTGAAGTGAAGACAGGAGTTACACAAGACAAGACAAGACAAGACAAGACAAGGCAAGAGGAGAAAAGACAAGGTTACCGCCCACTATCACCCATCTTCTTCCTGATTGTGGTCAAGTGGACTGGATCATGCAACAGACAACTGAAGATGGGTATACGCTGGCTGGACCGATGAAAAGACACCAGAAGAAGATTTGGATTTCGCCACCGATGATGATTTATGTCCAATGTCTTGTCGCACAAATTGGAAGATGTACAGACGAAAACCAACAAGTTGACAGAAGAGGCCAGGCCAGGCCAGGCAAGCGAGGTGAGGCTAGGCTAGGCAGAGCAGTGAAGATGGCACTTCCTTCAGATGAACGTAGAGAAGACAGTGGTAGACGTGATGAAGATACCTAACCAATGACGACGACAACAACAAGAAGAAGCACCAATCACCATCAAGGGGAGAAACTTAA